AAGAGGTTTTCTCTATTCATCTATATTGTGCTAAACTCCCTAAGGGTGATAATTGTTATCAGTTCTCACCTAGCTGGGGTCAGCTACAGAGATGGTGACACTATGCAAATACACAGTAGCTGCAAGTAACTTCTCTCAGCAGATCCCAAGACCAATGAATGTTGATTACAGTGCTTACCTTTCCCTCCCTTCATAAGGCAGCCAGAACAGAAAGTAGAATGTTACTTAAGAGGGCAGACACCCTCAATACACTTCTTCACACTGCTTATTTATTTTACATTAATATTTATAGCAAAAACATATACTTTAGTTCAAAGCTAGTGCTTTTGCAAGGGTGGGGAAAAAAAAAAAAAGAGAAGTACTTCTCTTTGTCCCTCCTCTCACTCTAAAACATTCATGTCCGACAGTCATCTAAAACCAGCTGCAAAAGGCAGCGTTGGGCTTTCACTGTGCTGCTTCATGTCAGTGTTCACTGGCTGTTAGACTTTGAGTACTGAAGTCAGTCAAAAGTATGTCATCTACAGTCTTAAACATTTGTCATACAAAAACTAGGATGGGCCTGTAAAACAGAGAAGCACCGACAGAGAAAATGTTAAGACATTCAGTTTTCACAAACGCAAGTCAAGAATGGTATTCTTACTGCAGCCATCTTCATCACTGTGGTCCCCACAGTCATTGTCTCCATCACATTGCCACTGAGCAGGGATGCATGTACATTCACCAAAAGCGCTGACAGCACATGTAAAATGGTTACGGCCACAGGAGCATTCGGTGCTACTTGTAACACCTGTAAAGGAACAAACAAAGAAAAAAGATATTTTGAAGAGATCTGTCTATTTTAGGGTAAATGCATTAAATACAAAGTGACATCATGATTTTTCTCCATATACACACTATACGTACGAACACATATGCTACTGCAAAGGAAAACATTCACCCTTCTCGCACTGTTGAAATAGGAGATCGAGTACTATGCACATTTTCCTGGAACAGGGCTATTTGAAGGCAATAGTAAATAGCACCCTGTCAAAAAGAGACTTGGAAATCAGTTAGCTAAAAAATAACTCTGCACTAGTCACAAATTCAATGAATCCCAGGTATCAGAACACTCTTTATTTTACAAACTCAGTCTCCTCCTAGAGCACAGTGCTGCTGCTGCTCCACTTAGTTCTGACACCACAGCAGAAGGGATAGCAGAGATTCTACTTCAGAGATTTATCTGGGGTCTTCTCTAGACCCTGAACTTTCTAGATGCAAACCTTTTACATGTGACAGGTTTAGATATTTCAGTCCACATTGGAAAAAAAATTAAAATACATCCTTCTTTATCTGTAGAGATTAAACTGTGACATTATCCTGTGCATAACTGACATTTATAAAAGCAATAGAAAAGGATTTTCAACTCTACAAACTGATCAAAAGAAACTGTAGTCCAAATGTCAATATATAATCTAAGAACATCTTCTTCCAGCCTTGAAGTTAGTTTAAGGAGCTCCCAACCGTTTTCTCCCCTCTCCCAGCTACAAAACAACACTCCACACAACTCCTGACTCTCCTATGCAAATACAACTATTTATGATGTTATGACACACGTTCTCTTAATAAGTCTCTGCCTTGAGAGAGAACAGACATCAAGGGTTGAGGCTGGGCCAGCCACCAATGAATGACAGGCACTCTCTATTAACCTCTCTCCCCTCCCAAAAGGGAAAGGGAGAGAACACAAGGGAGAGACACTGACGGTTTGGAAAAGAAAACTAAAACAGCTTTAATGAAACAATAACAAGAAAAGAAAGGATAATAATAAAAACCCCACAAAATAATTAAATAGATACAAAACCAATACCGAACCCAACTCCCCCCACCCTGATGATGATACGTCACCGCTGACGCTGCAGGGCTGGCACTGGGGCAGTCCCAGGCTGGACTCGGCAGCAGACAGGAATGGGATGCAGGAACTGGACTCAGGCACTGGATTCAGGGATGCACGGATCAGTATCAGCGACAGAAAACCAGACAAGTCCTTCTCAGACGTCGGCCATCGAAGAAGAGATTGACCCTCATGATATCTCAGCTTTATACTGAATATGACATACAGGGGATGGAATACTCTGTTGGTCAGGTTTGGGTCACCTGTCCTGTTTGCTCCTCCCTGTAGTTGCGACCTTTTTCGTGCTTGCGACCCTTTTCACATCCAGCACCCCAACATGGAGTACAAGATTTAGCAGTGACCTTGGTCGCTATAAGAACAAGTATAAGCAAGGGCCTGTCTGCACACCATTCCTTAGTACGAGCTATAAACATCAGGCCTTATCACTGCTAGAAGCAGTTACTGTCTGGAAAAACAGGCTGCTGTTTCAGAAAATGCCGTTAGTTAGAGGAGACTTAACTGAAAAGTAAAATCAGTAAAACAGATTTAGTTCTGTTTTAGCCCAAACCAGGACAACAGGCTATAGCCCACTTCTCAAAAAGTAAAAGGTCATGCCTGAACTTCTGTCTGATGTTATCTAGACAATCTATATAATCAATATCACTGTTAAACAAATGATTATTCTATCAATCAACAACTCCCTCGGGCTAGTCTGTGACTGAATTCTTTTTGCATGGTTCCTTCTTTCTGCAATTCAAACAAACCTAAAGCTCTTAGATTAAACAATAGATCATAAGGAAAGAGTACAGAGAGGTACCTGCCCCAAGTAGTAGTTATATACATCCTGATCTCATTCAATCATTTTGCTCTCACTTGTTTCATCTAATGTATCTCTGATGAACCATCAGCTGCAGCATTGTAAGAAAAAAAAAAAAAAACCAACCCAGCTCCATAATTTCCTTATTTTCCATTCTGATTGAGAAAAGCAGTATCTGCAAGGTTTTATGCAACTATTCTGCCACTCTCTCAGCAGCAGAATTCCCTCCAGTGAAGACATCCACTTGTGCAAGTTCAGATAAGGTTTAGAAGGGATGCACTTCTCTCCTGAGGAACAATTCCACAATAAGTTTCTTCTGCAAGGGAACTGGCTGAGGTTTCTGCCAGCCTCTGCTGCCTGCTCCCAGCTGCTACACTGCAGGTTGCAAGGCCTTGCTACAGACTATTTTCCAAGCACCTCCACAAGCTGCAGAATTTGGCCAACCAAACTGGTTGTGGGATCTCCCTTCATAGACTGCCACGGTTATTCTTTCCCCCATCTCCACTACAAGTTATCTTTAAAAGGTTTAGTAGAAAACATACATCTCAAGGTATTACAGTATATGGTAGAGAAAGTGACCAACATCTGGTGTAACAACAGAGAGGCAGGAAGAACATATAGTGAATAAGGAACAGAAAGAAGGAAAGGCAAATGAAAGACAGCAGACTGGTCAGGTCCTCAGAGGACTTACCAGGTGTAGCCAGGGCAAAGGCTGACTCAAAAAGACAGCAAGTGGATGATGTAGAGTCAAAAGGCAAAAAAAGCAGCACAGACACCCCTAAGGAAAAGCAATGCATCATCTACGCAATATATCTAATTATTAGAAATAAACACAAGAAAATTCAGAAGAACTGCAAGCCTCCCCAAAAATGAAACTGGTTCCTTCAAACTGGCAGCACAGGAAATTCAGGACAAGCCACCTTTTGCTGTTGTCTACCACTATTTAGAGAGGCAAAATCACCTGTATATTGTATCCAAGGTAGCTGCTGTTTAATCACCTTCTCCAAAGCAATTTTTCTACCGTTATCCTGAACAGTACCTCAAAACAGTACCTTATGGCAGCTACTTTAAGCTCCAATACCCCTTCGTGTTGGAGGACACCAAAACAATCACCATCCTCATTATCCCTAGAAAAAGACAAATACAAAAGCACTAGTGATTGGCTCTATCTTGCCCAGGCTCCACCATATTTTAAGGGTAGCATCACCAACAGGAAAGGATCAAACATCAAGGCAACCAATCCTTAAACTAGGGGAATATATTTAATAATTTATTTCTGGATAAGCGCAAATGTGAGAGTTAGGGGGAAAAAAAAAAAAAAAAGCGAGTTACTTTAGCTCCTGAATAGCAGTGTGGAGGTACAGCTCTGCAAAAGCAGAGAAAGAATTAGTGCAGCTGTCCCAATCTGCAAACTGCAATTTAATCTGCTGTATTGTCAAACACACAGTTATCTTCAAAATATATATATATATATATATACACGCACGCACACGCATTAAATCTGTTCTTCCCACCTCATTAAAGTCGCTATGTTCAATCACCTCTGGTTGGTGTTTTTACCATGCTATAGAAACTGCTGGAAGCTGAAGGATATGTTATGACTTAGATACCAACACTTTCTCTTACGTATCCGTAGTGCTATTATGCAATCATACTTTGCTTAACTAGTCCAAATTATGATCTTTGCGAATCTAATGCTTTGTGGTTTGTGACCTTTAAGGGTAACTAACCTTCTAGTCATTATAATGATGCATTTTATAAATGATGATTTACCCTAGTTTTACACTTGGACAAATAAAGCACATTATTGTGCATAGAGCACACTAATTCCAACCCACAAACAGTATCAGAAGAACCAATCCTAGATGACTAGTCTTTATCCAGTAAAAAGAAC